CTAGATACCAGTGAAGTAAACAACAATTAACAAGGTCATCTATAATGAAAGTTCTTGCAGCGGGTGATGAGACATAATCAAGAGCACGTTCTCTTTGAACGATAAACACGTTACAGTCAAGAGGAGCAGATGATGACAGCTAGTGTCTTTAAAGTTGTGGTCATAAGTTAAAAAAAATAAATTACAATAATTTTAAAAATGGGCTGCACACTTTTTAGAATACCCTGACAAAATTTGGAGTGCCCCATTATTTGCTCTGACAGCAATTAGCATGTCAAATTCTGCACCTCTTTATTTTCTGACATCTTGTCCATAATGCAAATGAAGTCAGCAAAATTTGTTATTTTGGGTTCTACTAGACCATTCTGTGCTTTCGCCAGGATACATTTTATATTAGTTTAAAAAAAATAAGGAGGTCATGAACCTGTGGGCTACCTGACTTTAAGCTCCTTTGGCTCTGACTTCATTGATGCATTAAAGATGTATTAAAAGGAGGGATGATTATGATCCATAAATCAATAATGCATGGAAACTGAGACGACAACACAGTGATTCCTCACAGAGAACAATTAGGGGGAATGCTAAACATAACACCTTTCTTCAAGGATCTTCATAAAATCTTTATGCTGTGAGTGTTCCCAAATATATTTTTCATTTTGAAGCAGTTTTGGATGTTAAAAACTGGACATAACAACTTTGTAGTTGAAATGTAGCCACTTCAACACACTAAAGTGTCTGAAACTAAATCTAATGCAACCTGTGGACTTGATGTAGTAAGAGAGTATTTGAGGAGTCTAGCTGGATTATTGGAACTGTAAATTATATAAACCATCTCTTCCTATTGTTAGTTTGAAGCCAGCTATAAAAAAAAAATCCTGGGAATTCCAGGCTGTTAACACTGTTACCCTATAACACCGTGGATCTTACTGACTTTTGAAGCCGCTTTGCCATACCTGCATTGGAACGGTCTGCATCATTTTCTTCTTCCTGGAGCCAATCTGTAGATAACTAAAAACAAGAGATAACGTGACGTAAAGGTTAGGTTTCCTGTTCTGTAAGGTATTCTGCACCCCACACATGCAGAATAACGTTTTCAGCAGTTAGCAAATTCTCATCCCTAACTGCTGAAAGCTTTACCAAGAGTTAAACAACTAGAATTTAGCCACTTGTCGCATAAAGTCAATTACCAAATGTGCAGCTTTTTACTGCACAAAATTTAATAAGTTGTTATACAGAGAGTGTTAATTTCAATTGTTCCTGCATCATCACAGCTGATATTCCAAACATTTTTATCTGAATATTTAAAGAAAATAAATCTGCATGCACTTTCTCTGGTTTTTACTGTAAAAATAAAGGAGGATGGAGACAGTATGCAATCTTTTTGCATCTGGGATACATTAACTTCCCCTCTGCTGCTTCTCCATTGCATTCTATGAATAAGTGGCTGCTCAAATCTCATTATCTGCTGCATGAGGCCACTTATTTTTAGGCTAGGGCAGAGTACACTTCTCTACAGTGCTGATCTCATTTATCACTGCCGTGAGTCAGTCAGCACTGGTGCGAAACTTTAAAGCCACGACTCAGCTCCGTGTCTGACAATTGGCTCGATTTGCGTACATATATATTTGCTAATGTCAGCTACAATGATTATGAAACAGTAGGGATATTTCAAAAAAAAATTGCATGAGTCTCGATTAACAATGATTGCTAAGGGCCAGCTTTCCCTCTTGAATGCATCCGCAACTGGTAGATGGTTTATTCCTGGTCATCTACAGCTGTATGCACCTAATGCTTACAGACGTCTGTATAATGACACAGCGTGAAAGCCTTATAAAAGTAGGCTAGCTTATTTGCCTAAACCACAATTTATGCTTACTCTAGCTTTTTGAATTTTTCCCTCCCAGCAGCGACGTACTGCTCCCCGCTCCTCAGGCTCTCCAAGCAGTCAACTTTATGACCTCCTCTCGGTGTGTAAATGTTTCTCACGGCTCCAAACGGGGCTTGTATGCCGCCCGTCACCTCTCTTAGCAAGGTTTCAAAGTTGCACATCCTCTTTTGGTTTATCACTATCCGCCGAGCATCGTAGTATGGATCGCCGTTTCGAAACATGAAAACGTTCTTCACCACGGGTTGAGAGAGAAAGTTTGGCCTCTCCGAACTCATCTTTGTGCGTAAAAGCGGGCGGAGAGGAAAAAAAACACGTTACAACAAACTCACGGTTCAGAGGTACGGGCCATTATAACGTCATTAGAGCTGTTCCATTCTCGTCAAATGTTCTGGGTTGAGTAAAAATGGGTAATGGAGGCAAATCTTCAACCAGCAGATTGGACAGAGAAAAATCCAGAGGAAAAAACTGCTTTCTGCACTTAAGGAAGTTGCTGATTAAAAGTATGATGGAGCGTATAAAAGTGCTGACGTTTCCCTGCGTTACAAATGTCAGCTGTCTGCAGAATTCCCGCTCCTCTGCACAGGAGTGTGTGGAGTAACCGCTACAGCGTGTGCACCGCTATAAACCGCAGGTGATGGTAAAAAGCCCAGCGAGTCTAAGTAGTTCCCTACTCTATGTAGACTGGGTATCATGGGAGCTCAACTGTTGGGATGTATCTATGGGAACAAGCCGTCGTCCCCTGGCCGATTAGAAGGGACCTTGCACAGCCATAATCACCAGGTAGTCAATCATTAGCTGATGAGATGGAGACCTAAGTGTTCAAATGCGCCCCGTCAGTGTGTGGGGTAAGATAACAGCATAGGCCCAAAGAAGTCCGTGATCAGAGAAAAATAATAATAAAAAAAAAAATTTGTAACCAAATACTCCTGGTGGGCAGGTGAGAACGTTAATGAGGCACCATGAGACCAGGTCGAAGCCGGGTTGCTGGTGACATCCTATAAGCCGGGCGAAAAACATGTTTGTCTTGTGAACTGTAATTATTCTGGAAACGCAGCTTCTAGATATGTGTACCTTATGTACTTTTGCTCAAAAGTGAAACGCCAAATGTATTCATACAAGTCAAAAGACCCTGATTCATTTTAATTAATGAATGCAATGTTTCCATTAGAACCAATACTACTAATGATACTACTAATAACAAGAAGAAGACGACGACGACGAACAACAACTATTACTACTAATGCACTGTCTGTGGTTGATTTCTGTGAAGTTCTAAGCTTTCCACCTTATTTTTATAATTTTGCTGAGCAATCCGCTTGTTAGAGGTCCGTCAGATAATTCAGAGCAAAAGTTCTACACAAGTAATTATAATAAATATAACTAAATGTAATAAATATAGCCACTGTGGTGTACTTTTTTGGAGCCATTTCGGTGACATTGTGAGCGTCTGTAAGTGCGTGCATTACCTTAGAAGATGATGCATAAAGTGTAATTCATTTACAAAGAGAATTCACGCCTGGGCCAATAATATCTTACTCAATAATATCTAATATCTCAATAATATGATTATTATCCGAATACTGGAATTTGAAGTGGAACAAAAAACCACCAAGTTTTGCATCATATTGTTAAACACTCCATAGTAGACAGGATATGAGGTCAGTTATATTAAAATGGGTTAGGTTCTTTATTTGAACTCTTCATAATAAGTAAGCTCTGTGCTCTCTTTTTTTTTTTGGCAACCGAACTGTATATACAAGTAACCTTGCATTGATGGGCTGCTTATAGTGGCATATAGTGCCCTTTTCCAACCAGTAGAGGGCAGTGGACACCAAATAACGGATCATAAACACACACCTGCAAGATAAGAAGCCAAAAGAAAGTATTTTTATGCAATAAAAAGTGATTTGTGTACTTATCCATTCACAGAGGGTTGCCTCTGTTGGTTCCGTGATGTCATAGTAGTACAATAGTATGGTGCATGAAAACGTGATGCATTTAGCAATACTCTTATGACATAAGAAGTTATAGAGTATTGTCTCAAATGTACAATTAACTACAGGCAGTGACCGCTTCGTTTATTTGTTTTCTGTATGCTATGAAATTAAATTGATTCGTTTATTCTTTGAACATAAAAGACCTCCAGTTTGAGACTGGGAGGAGATGAAAACCCAGCCTCAGGTGGTCACAAGCTAGTATACTCCTAATGCTGGTTCCAAGCCAACATAAATGAGAGGGCTGCATCAGGAAATGACAAACCTTTGGAAATAAGGGAGCAGCTAAAAGTACCTCTTTTTTTAATTTGGAAAAATGATTATGTTCCTAGCATTTTTTTTTTTCAAAAGACATGTTTATTTAATACTTTCAGTGCACAAGGTTTACACAGTTTCAGTTAAAGTGACTGGAAAGTTGCAGAATGTGTATATCCCATTAGACACAATAGCAAGAATAAGCCCAAATAATATAAGCACAGTGCACATCAAAACAACAAAATTCCATTTTCTTCCACCTTTCCTTGTGTATATGTATGTCTTTTTTCAATCTCAACATCAGTGGCAAGACATGAAATTATACATAATTGCTGTTGTTTATCGGATGTGATAATGGCACCTTTTAAACCCTATCCCTGCACAGCCAAAATTGCTTTGCAATTGCCCTTGCTTGACAACATTTGGAAAAAACTTGATGGCAAATATCTGTCATTGCCTGATAACACTAGCGAGAAACTGAGGTAGGGTGGCATCATGAAAACGTAGAAATTCAGGTATATTAAGGATCTACGTCCATATCAAATAAAATGTAAATGTACAAAAGTGCTTGTTTGGCTAAAAAGGATCAGTAGAGATAGCAGTTGATACAAAAACAGTTAAGTGCTGTAACTAAGAAAAATGTGTGCTTTTATTTTGTAAACCTGGCACATTAAGGAATCATAATAAAATGATAAATAAGTGAAGGCTTTTATTTTTGAAAATCTGAACAATTTCTGAGGATAACATTTCTTTTTTTTTTAAGTTAACTGGGAGTTTTAACAGCTGGGATAAGCTCCAGTAACGTATGAAAGACAGTCCTGTTCTTGTATTAATCACCAGGGTATGTCACATAGAAAGAGACGAAGAGGCAAAACTGTGTACTACAGATAGGAATACAAACTTTATTTTACTCTATCTAATAATATTACATTACTATTACATTAATGTAGCAAAAGGTTCAGCTAACTTTGCATAAAAATA